ATGCAGTCATTCTCCTGGCAAAATCCTGGCAGTTGTCCTTGACACCATTTCATCTACTTCTCCATCTCCACTCAATCTGTCACACCAAGTATGTCCTATCCATTCTTCTCCTACAACATATCTCAAATCCATTTAATTCTCCATTTCTGCTGCTGCCACCGTCCTAGAGCACAGCCATGGCCTCCTAATTATCTCCCTGCTTCCGCTCCTATTCACTTCCTACCCTGTGGTATGACCCCACCCTTCCTAGTGGACAGACTGAGCTTTTGAAAAAAACAAACCTGATCATACTTCCCACCCCCATCAAAATCCTTTAATGGCTTTCTATCCATCTAGATAGATAATGGCACTCTATCCATAAAGTCCAAACTCCTTGTGGTCAACACGGCTCAGTGTGATCTGGTCCCTGAGTATCTCTCCAGTATCTTTTTTCTAATATTTTATTATGAAAATTTTCAAACAGACAGCAAAGTTGAAAAAAAATTTATAGTGAATACCCATAGACTGACCTCTCAGATTTTACCATTACCATTTTATACTTGCTTTATCATATATCCATCCATTTATCCATCCCTCTATTCAGCATTAATCTTTCTTGATTTTGGTGCCTTCAAAAGTAAACTGCAGGCTCCAGTCTCATTTTCATCACTCTTCCTCTTGGTCCCTACACTCCAGCCAGAGGCATCTTCCCCTTCCTTGAATCTGTCAGACTATTTTGTATCTCTGGGCTTTTGACCTATTGTCCATTCTACCTGCAATGTCTTCAGTTCTTGTTAATTCCTAACTCATCCTTTAGTTCTCAGCTTCAACTTTCTCTGAAAGGCTGGCCCTACACCCCCAATCTAAATTAGATCTGCTTTCCTGCCTTATTTATGGTCTCAAGGCACTTGGGGCTTTCCCAAAAAATCACTTATCACAATTGGTCACTATAATTTTATTTGCAAAATTATTTGTTTAATGTGCATCTCCTCCACTAGACAGTAAGCTCCATGAGGACATAGACCAGTCTGCACTGGAACACGCTGGACCACCTCTGCAGAAAATCAGTTAATATTTGTTGAAAGAATTAAAAGGCAGAATGAATAAACAACTGGAAGGTGCTATATGGAGTAAGTGAATTTGTTCTTTCTTTAATATGTGCAAACGGTATGGGTTTTTAAAGGCCTCCATGAGAAGATGGAACTTACTTGCTGCCAGAATATAACCAACAAGTACATTAAGACCAATTACTAAACGGCAAGATCCATGGCTAGTGGTTGAGCCAAGAAGAGACCGTGGTGGATTTTAGCGACCTCTCTTCCATCTCCACCAGCCCTTCCCCTCAGGATCTTTCTGATTCAACACACAAGCCAAGGAAAAACTGTGCTTGCTGTGCAATATAGCTTAAGTAATTACAACAATAGCTATAATGTACTGAGCCCATTTATCCAGGTCTGGCTTAGTGTCAGGCACTGTCTTGAGTGCTTGCCCTGTATTAAATCACTTTTCCTGTGGCACAGGTTCCATTGTATCCCCATTTTACAGGTAACAGAACACAGTAGTTATTTAAAAACATGTTGTCTGACTTTCCCTTCTAAACACATTGCCACTCCTATAAACTCCACCAATATAGAGTATTCTCTCTTTGGCCCCATTTGAAAGTAGGAAGATTAATCTAGAGAACTCTCAGACTTCTATAATGGAGAGAGGGTTTTAGTTGGTTCTAACAAGTCTAAAAATACAGAAAGAAATCCACATACAGATCAAAGAGACTTAAAAGATGAACTCTTGGTTAGGAAACTCAGAGTTCCATATCTGAAAAAGCCAATAAAATCATTATGTTGACTTATTTTTGTGGTCATTCCAACCCCAACCCCATGGCCCCCCAGTGCTTTTCCTCATATATAACACCGTAGACACACTTTCAAATGATCCCTGCAAAGAATTTTGTCCCAGATGTAACACAGTTTACACACAAAGTTAAAACTATTGTGATTTCCCCCATAAAAGGAACTAATGGTTAAAGGAAAATGAGGCAGTGCAGAATGTCCTAGTGGAAGAGTATGGGTTTCAGACAGTTTTGAGTTTGAAGAAAAGCTTTTCCCCTGTCTGTGTGACCTTGGCAAATTAGTAACATCTCTGGGCCTCAGTTGCTCAGTTTCCTTATTTGAAAGAGGAAATAACAAGATCCACTTAGCAGGGTTTGGATATATTAAAATGATAGATATAAAAAGCTCAGCCAATGCTTGGAACATGGAAGATGCTCAAAGATGGCAACTTTAAAAAGGGAGGAAAGATAGGGGAGGGTGGTAACCTTGATGCCCAGAGTAAAAGAAGAGTCATAGGAAATCTTTACTAAATGCACATCATGCATTCTTGAGAGAGAGAGAGGAGCTTGGGTAAAAGTGTCCTTTAGCATTTGCATTGCTCTTAGCCAGATGAACTTGCCTGCAGCTACCACTTACAATGCAAATTGAGCTTAGAGTCCTTCACACTAACTACACAGCAAAACCCTTTCAGCTTTAAATAGAATACTGCAGTGTGGAATGATCTGAGCAGAGGGAAGAGAAATTCAGAGATAAATGCAAAGGAGATCGTGAAGAAAAAAATCTGACATATCTGGCCAGGTAGGAAAATGCAGAAATATCAAAAGAAACAAAAAGAAAAGCAAAGTCTATAGAAGGACCTCTAAGCTAATTCCCCAGAAAGCAGGTTTAAGTTAATAAATGGGAAGAGAAATTTGGGGGGAAACCCCCAATAAAGTGGATTTTTACACAGAACCTTTTGATCTGGTGCTCTTTCAAGGTGTACTAGCACTTTTGAGGTCTCCATCAGAAGAAGAGGATGCTTCCCTTCAGGCTGGCGCCATTCATGAATGTTCCCTAAAATGAACAGGTTAAGACCAGAGAGAACTTCCTGCTCTGCCCAACTTCCGCTATTTACATTGTATAAGTTCCTTTTTAATTTTCTTCCCAAAGCTTCACCAAGATCAGGTAAAGAAACCTGGAAGCCTACTGTGGAATAAAGATTTGTTTAGTTTTGTGTGTTTAGTGCGTGTGTGTATGTGTGTGTGTGTGTGTGAGAGAGAGAGAGAGAGAGAGACAGAGACAGAGACAGAGACAGGGAGAGACAGAGAGATATCTGAGAGGTTGATTTAGAAAGATTTTTTGAAAGCTCTTTGCTATAAACTCATACCTCATTTTTCACTATATGAACCCAGGTATTTTATCCAGAATCAGAGTTTATAAAAATGCCACAAAATAGCAACAAAGATTAGGTAATGTGTAAGGCCCTGAAAGCAATGAGGAATACCGTTTTAAACCCATTTCTTCATTCTACAGATGACATTCTTATACATGTGGCCACAATTTGCCCCTCTTCTGGGCTCAGTAAGTGTCCTTTGCCTGCACTTAGAGGCATAATGCAATATAGAAGAAAATATGAAGGCAGCCCTCTTTCTTTGTTGTCACAAACAGGAAGAAGTGTCCCCAAAAATGTCAACAGACCCAAGGCCAACTTCTCTCTTGGATGACATGCTTAGACACAGAGCTAATCATACGCTACCTGGTAACTGAGTCAGTGACAAAGCAGTAAGACTGAGGAAGAACATCTTCCAACCACGTTGTTATCATGCAAATAGAAAGAATCAGCAAGTATGGTGCTTGGTATGGGGGAGGGATAGGCTGAACATCTTTAAAGCCATCTCTAAGCTCCTGGAAGCCAGAGATCTGCAACTCTGCTTAATCTGTCTAGCACCATGGACATATTAGGTTTGATGCTCTCCAATGATAATGATGAATGGACAATATATTTTCAATAGCATTGGGCATTCTTTCTATCTAAAACTTCCAGGGATGTTTATAGAAGATGCCACCTTTACCCCCAAATTGTGTCTTTTCATTTCTTTCAGATGTTGAACTCTTTTACTCTTCCCACCCCATCTCTCTAGTAGTGTTGATTTGATTAAATATTATAGAAATTTTAGCATCCAAGAATAATAAGAATAATGTTAATATATCGCCACATTTTCCTAAAGCACTTTCACACCCATTTTCTCACGTGGCTATTACAATGTGAAAATCCAACATTTTATATGAGTGGTTAAGGATGAAGTCCTACGGGTAGATAATGAAAGCAAAAATGCAGAAGTTTTGGTATTTGGGGGGAAAAAATGCCTCCACTCTCTATTCACACACAAAAGGCGGAAAGAGATTCCACCTGCTGACTTTCCCTGCCCGTCCGCACGGCACTCAGGCTAATGTCAGAACAAGCTGGGAGAAAGAGAGAGAGAGAGACGAAAATTTCCCCTCCTGGCAAAGCTCAGCTTACTGAACCCTCTTGCTTTCTGCTGGCTGTTGATTCAGCAGAAACTACTGCTGCAGAATTCATAATGGTGATTTTTAAAGGCCCCACTGATCGCATTGCTCGCCCCACGTGTCAGACTCATTCGCTCGCTGCTGGAACACTGCTTCCCCAGTCACATTTTTATTTTCTTGCTAATGCACTTCCAAGGGGAGAGAGGCTCACCCTTTTGGGTTTTTGATTGTCTGAGCAGGTAACCTGGCTGGAGAGATGAACGGGCAGGAAATGAAACCATGCCCTCCCTGCAGCCACTGAGAGAGACAACATCATTCCGCTTAGGGAGGGGAGGACCTTCGGTCCTGGTGGGCCCCTTCCTTCTTATCTCCCCCCAAGAACCCTGCAAACATCTTGAGGGAGCGGTTATCTGCCTTCTGGGGGTCATTTTTCCAGCCAGGAGCCCCACCCTGAAAAGCCTAATCCCTGAGGGCCATTTTAACTCCCTTGGGCGCCGGGTCCACCTGCTGCTGAACGCCAGGCTCGCCTCGCGGAGCCTGGATTGATGTGGGGCACACTGGCGGCTGCCCCTGCAAGCCGAGCCCCCGCCCCAGCCCCGGGGCCCAGAGGAGTCTCCGCCACTCCGCGCCCAGCTGTCCGCGGAGCACAGCGATCCGCAACTTGCGCCCGGCCCCAGCGGCGGAATGCGGTGGGGCTGGCGTTACCTTCGGTCGCATAGCTGTGGTCGCGCAGGAAACTGTTGTTGATTTTGCGGGTATCAATGTCCTCCTCCATTGACAGCAGGCTTACTTGCGTGGGAACCAGAAGCCGGCAGACAAGTATCCATGATCCCTCCCCGCAGCCAGTCTCACAGGAGAGGGGGGCAGGGGAGCCAGTGGGACTGCACCATGGTCCGAGCCTGAGGAGGAGACGGGGAGGCGGAGAGAGAAAAAAAAATAAAAACCCGGCAATGGAGCTGTCACCTCCTCCACTCGGGATCTCCGAGGCTGCGGCGGCTCCTCCCGTGGTGCGCTCACTCCAGCTCCAATTCCCAGCGAGGATGCTGCGCCTGCCTCCGCTGCCTCCGGGTGCCAAGATGCGCCGTGCCCCGAGGGGTCTGGTCCCGCCCGCCGCCCGGGAGACGCTCACAAGCGGGGCTGGGGAGATGCCCAACAGGTTCCCCTCGTTGGCAGCCGCTCCAAAATGCAAAAAAGATCCCTCCTCCCCCTGGGAGAGCGGGCAGCCGCGACAAAATGGTGCCTTTCTGGACCCGAGCTGCAGTGGCGAGATGGTAGGGGCAGGATTCAGGCTTGCCCGGCCCGGATGAGGGTGCTAGTCCCACGGGAGGGTGGCTCCGGCTGGCGGGGGCTAGGAAGCCAGCGGGGAGCTGGGCAGGGCGCTGCGGCCGGCGCCAGCGCACTCACCCTCACACCCACACGCGCGCACTCGCAGCTGCTGCTGCTGCTGCAGAAGGAGGCTGGAGGCGGCTGGTGCGTTCAAGGCGAGGCTCCTCCCAACCGCGTCAGCAGCCCCGGGACTCTTCCCCGTCAGCGGTGGTGGCCGAGGCAGAGGCTGCGGCTACTCTCTGCGGCAGTGGGGCGCACGCAGCCGCGAACCGGCACCTGGTCAGCAAGCAGCTAGCTTGCAGGTTCACGTGAAAAGCAAAAACGTGTTCTTCCAACCTCCCTCAGCCTGTACCACGCAGCTAAGGGCGGCCGGCGTTTACTCTAGCACCCAGAGTCCCTAGCTCGCTGCCTTTCTCCGGACACCTGCGCTTCAGAACGACAAGGAGAAGTATGTTCCCTTGGGTAGACAGGAAGCCTACATCCAGGTCCCTTTTGCTCAGCCTTATGTGATGCATGCGGTCCCTTGATGAAGTTAAAGGGCGAGGCCTGGGGTTGGAAGCCTCAGAAAGAGAGGAGAGAACGGGAAGGCGAGCGGCTCGTAGCCTAGCTTAAGCCCTCTGTGCTAGGCATAGAAAGAGGAGCAGGGGCCAGAACTTTTCTATGGTCACATCTGACTTCTCCATTCCAAACAGAGTCAAAAATATCTCATGCTAACTGTAGGCGTCTATGTCTACACAGGCAGAGGGAAGCAGAGGGCTGAGTTATGAATCTAGTCGATATAGTCAATCCGAAAAAGCTCCCCTTACCTAGCCCTTTGCACTTTTGGACAAACTGCTGCAGGCCGTCCTGCAGGTTTTGCTGTGAAGACACAACATTGCAGGAACGGCTTACAAATACTTGCAACATGGAAGGTACATTGGAGCCCTGAGCCCACAGAGAGCCGCTGCTACCTGAGGGAATTTCAAACATCCAATGAATACAAAGAAGAGGCCTCTCTTCCTACTTCAACTAGGAGGAAAATACAGAATTCCCTACCCACCCGTGTTTCCCCCAATTGCAAATTCCTTATTTGAAAGAAAATTAGATCATTATTGTTATGAAACAACTAAAATCATTTATGAAGCAACCCAAATCATTAGAAAGCCAGTTTGGAAGAGAAATTTCCCCGGTTTCCTCTTGTAGAAGGTATTCATTTCAGTGGGTGTCACACTGCAGAGAGAGACATTAGCAACTGTCTTGCTCAGTTAAGCTCCACAAGTTTAGCTAGATGAGCCCAGAGGGACCTGTGAGTTAATTATATACATACAATGCTTCAACTAACACAATTTAGAAAGTATTTGAAGTTCAAAAAAATGAGAAAACAAGTTCGTAACTGAGGTTGGGAATTGCCATTAGATTTCCATGAAGAATAGATGCTTCCAGCAGGTGGAAAATGGCATTGTCTCTCTCTCCAGAAAGCGATCGCACATCTCTGAGGGAAGAGAGTAGAAACATTCTTTGGTATAATTTTTGGGGGAATTTCAGCTTTCAATAGACTCCATTTTATTTGCGTCTGGTGGTTAAGTCTTACATGCTTGTTTGACTATTTGTTCAAAGTTCACGTATGAAATTCCAGTAACAGATGAGAGCTGGTGCAACTTAGTTTAATCCACTGCAGCATCAGTTGCCATGGTTGGTTCTCCACATAATGAGCTGTATCCATCACCAAGGCTCCAGTGGTCAGCTCATCTTTAGTTATACCGTCCAGCTTCTCTTGTAATTCCGTATAATGGGGAAAGGAGGGGTAGAGGGGAAAAAAGCTAATTTCATCTCAAAGTGGTGAGAAGGCGTCTTGTTTTCAACTGCAACGGCCTTAAGCTGCAACAAGAGACCTTGGAATAGTATTTGGGAAATTCTCCCCTTTGTCTTCCTGGAACATGGGCTAGACTGGAACAGAGCTGCCTGATGAATCAGGTAGGCCCGGGCTCATTGGCCAGGCTGTGCTTGAGGAATTTGCCACTGTAACCAATGGGAGAAATGTTTCCTCCATAGATCCCACCTCTTGGTTTACTAAATCTTCCCTTTCACATTTCCTGTTAATTTCCTCCTGCATTTATTCAACAATACAGGCAATTTTTTTCCTAGGACACAAGTTCTGAGAAGGCAAATTAGATAGATCTCCATGGATTAAGCAGATCCAAGGCTTCAATTTTGTGCACCACTCTCTTCTACTTTGAGCCCCTCCAACCAAAACCAAGAAAAATAAGCTGTTGGCTTTGAGCTTTCACAAAACGACGTGTAGTAGAGGAGGTAAGGGAATGAAAGAAGCCCTGTGCCATTCTGTGGTGGGAAGAGGACTGCGCAGACCACTTCTCAGAAGACTCGCTGACCTCCTTTCTATTCCTCCAACATGTCAAGTTCTTTCCAAAAGCTTTTGGCATTTGCACATGCCATTCTCTATGCCCCTTCCTCATGTTCTTGGCATTCTTCAGTCTGAGCTGAACTGTCCTTACTTCAATGGGGCATTCCATGAACACACGCCCCCTCCTTTCTGTCTCTGCATCTTTTTTTTTTGTCTTCTTTACAGCACATTGCATTTTGTAATAGCTGTTTACTTATTATTGTCAACTATTCTCACTATACCTCTGATGTTAAGTATCTGTCACGTAGTAGATGCTCAATTATATTTGTTGAATGTAGATAAATATTTCTTGAATGAATGAATTACTGAATTTGTTCAGTGATATTTAGGTTTTATAGCTCTACCTTTATCAAAATTCTTGCCAAAAAAACCCCCAACAATAATGCCTGTGGTGAGCCAGTAATTTTCTAGCTTGAACTCCTATTCCTATTGAAATAATTGTCTTACCCATTCCTGCATGCATATGCACCAAAAATATTTACTGAGCACTTAAATATGACAAAAGTTATTCTAGGTGCTGGGGATATAGTTAAAACAAAGCAGAGTTCCTTTCTTTATAGAACTGAAATTCCATCATCTGATTTTAATAACGTTAAATTCTTAGAAATACAACAAATGCATTGTAAATCAACAGACTATAGCATAATGTTAAGTGCCAAGGCTTTGATATCAAACAAAGCTGATTTTCTACCACTTATTGTCCTCGAGCAATTTATACAATCTCTCTAAGCCGTTTTTTTAATCTATAAATTAGGGAGAATAATAGTATCTACTTCATGGAGTTATTGTGAGGATTAAATGAGATAATACTTGGAAATATTATATTGCTATTGTTGAGTATTTACTACTGTCACCACCATCAATACTGAACAGATATTGAAGCACTTACTATGTCAGCCACTGGGATAGGACTGGAGATTCAGTAATGTCAATGCATAAGATGTATAGTCAGTCTCTGCTCTCATGGAACTTAGTGTCTAATTTACAGTTTATGTAAAGGGGGCCACAGGCTACAACAGGGGCCGCAGAGGACACTCTGAAAGGCTGACCTAATTCAGGCTTGTGCTTTACACAGAAAAGGCCAATTACAAGTACACAGCCTTCTTAAGTGACACAATTCAGCATGACAGCATGTGGACACATTCTTTTTTTATCACCCTTGTCATGGTCCCCTTCCCCCAACCCTCCCATACAACCTCACCGCAGTTAGGTTAGTGCTGCCTACACTGGAACCTTTTAGGTCATCCTGTCCAATTAGCACTTTAAATATCTACAATTTTATGAAAACCTTTGACCTATGCCAGTCTGGAGATTCTCAGTATAGGCTTTAGGTGTCACACAATCCCGGTTTGTGTCCCAGCTTAGGCATTTATGAATTTCATGACCTTTGGCAAATAATTTAACATCTCTGAGCCTCAGTATTTGCAAAAGTCGAAGAAAATAATAGGAGCTACTTCATACAGTTGTTGAGTGGCTTCAGAGACAACGTAAGGAAAGTACTTAGGATGGGCTTGGCCCATAGCCAGGCCTCACTAAAATGTCAGTTCTCCCTGCTAGCAGTGGCCCATCGGGGTCTCCATGCACAGAGAATTGGACAGATGTACTATAAGTCAATCATTCGTGTGAACAAAAGTGCCCTGGAAACCTCAGTTTTACCACCTCTCAATCTGTCTTAATGAGCAACTGGAAACTAGATACATGAAATTTTACCATCTTGCAAAAAGCCCTTTATAAGCCACAATGACTTGTGTAAATAGAAGGAGTTAGGATTATCTTCTTTTGATTTTCGCTGTGTGTACATGCAGACCTCATCACCTTTCTCTATTGTGGAATCATACGGAATCCCTCTCCAGGATCACTCAGCAGCGAATGCACAGCTATCTCTCTGAGGTGGTTTATGTGTTGACTGCCCAGAGGATGACCTCTTGAGTTTCTAGCAAGGTTTGCAGTTCCTTTTTGTGCATGGAACAACGTGAAATACACATGAGTGAGCCTTTAGCATGGCATTTAACCTAGGAAAAGAAAACAAAACATCTTGCTCTCAAAATGTCGTATTAATTCTAGATTCTGGATACTTAGTGGATTTCACCAAGTAAAATGTTCCCTCAATTGTCCAAGTACAACAACTTATGAAAATAAACAGTGGTATCCTGGAGCTGGTACGTACCGGCT